TTTTCATTTGCAACCTTCTTTAACATTTGTATAGTAAGAATGATGTAAGACTTTCTAGCCTTAGGGGGACGATATAAACATCCCACAAGCATATTTCCATTATGTTTGTTAGGGGTTTCAACCCATATAGCTTCCATGTTAGAAAGGGTGTTAAGGTCATTTCTTTCAATATAAGGAATTCCTTCTTTAATATATAAACATACTCCACCACCTCTATTTTTACATGTCGGATATGACGAAACAAAATGTAAAGTGGTGGTTATCAATGAGTTGGCAGCCATAGTGGACGGTTAAAAATGTACTCTTACTTTTTACAAATCAAGCACAGTTTATACTCAATTCTAATAGTAGGATTATTGGTTAATCAGTTGTAGTTTATATATTATCCATCTACTACCAAATTCAGATCTTCTAATGAAGAAATAAGGTGGTATTTAGCCCCTCAAACTGTAGGCCTGACAGTAAACCAAGGCCAATTGACATGTCTGAGTGAACAAGCATATGCAACGGCTTGGCAACAACCAAAGCCCCAGTCGCCGTTGTCAGCAAGTAGGCTTAGCCTTTTAGATTCCTCAGCCTTCCACATCGGATTAAGTTCGTCATTTTCTACAACTGGCTTTCTACATAAGGACAGTACGACTGTAACAACTGCTGGATATAATTGTTACACTCTAGACCTATCTTTTTGCTGCGTAACAACCCATCAGTGGTATGTTCGTACTTATAGATTTCGAAGATATTTTAAACGTCCTATTTCTTATATTCAAAATCACAGTGCAACTTTTCAAATTCCGTTACTCATAATTATAGCTGGAGATGTTCAACAGCATCCTGGTCCAACTACAAAGTGCAATAGCTGTGATAAAACGGTACGACGAAACCAAAAATATCAAGTATGTTGTGAGTGTAATAGTCATGTAGACATAAAATGTATACCAATGGGTATACATAGCTATGCATTTTTCCAGAACAATCCAACTATCCTATGGTTCTGTGATACCTGTGCTTGTATGAAACTTCAATATCCTGCACCTCCACCAGAATCACTTACTACCGATCAAGAGAGATGGTTAACCTTCAAACAACCAAGTGACCTGCGCATTGGGCACTTGAATATAAATAGTTTAACAAGAAAAATTGATCAATTAAGACTCTATCTCAAAGAAAATAAATTCCATATTCTGTCCCTCTGTGAAAAAAAGCTCGATGAGACAGTTAGCGACAACGAACTTTCTGTTCCAGGATTTAATCTCCTTAGAAATGACAGAACAAGGAATGGAGGAGGCGTTGCCTTATTCATTGATGAAAATATCCATTTTAAGCAGCTGATCGCGAACCAAATTGACTTAGAGTTCGTTGATATCGAAATCAAAAATCTAACCGGTAAACATCTTACAGTGTCATCTGTTTATAGACCGCCTTCAGCTACCGTTTCCTTCTTTGATAAACTTGAACTCATGTTTCATCTCACTAATGTACATGTAAATGACTACATTACTGTTGGTGATCTGAACTGACTTTTTATCTCCTAATTTTAATACAAATAACCTCTCAGATCTAATGCTTGATTATAACTTAACCCAACTTGTAACTGAAGCCACACGTGTAACTAAAACTACAAAAACTCTTATTGATGTAGTAATTACTTCTAATGTGCATTTGCACTTGAGAACGTTAGTCCTAACTTGTGGACTTAGTGACCATGATATTATTTTAACTGACCTTAATTTTAACTTTAAAAAAAATAGACATTTTATTAAAAAATTTAGAAGTTTTAAACATTTTGACATTGATTTATTTTTATCTGATATTATTAATATTGAATTGAAAGATATAAAAGAATGCCAAGATGTAAACATGTGTTACAATCTATTAATTAATCATCTAAAAAAGTGTGCGATCACCACGCACCATTTGTAACCAAACGCTTTAAATGTAATCTACCAGGCTGGCTTGAAAACAGACCAGATATATTTGATTTAATGCACCGAAGAGATAGAATGAAGGCAAAAGCCAAGCGTACTAAAAGTGAGCTTGACTGGCGATTAACTAAAGATCTTAAAAATTGTGTAACTAGTCTATGTAGAGAGGCTAAAGAAGAATTTTATAAATCATATATATCTGAATATGCAGGTGATTCAGGTAAGATATGGGCGGGCCTTGGGCATCTCCTCCCTCGTAAAAGAAATATATCCAAACCCACTTGCATCCAAGTTAATGACACTGAAATAACAGATCCTTTAGAAATTGCTAATTCTTTCAACGATTATTTTATTAATATAGGCTTAAATCTTAATAACGATAATTCTTCTGCTGAAGCTATTACCATTAACCTTTATGACATTTGTTCTGAATTTTCTTTCCAGGGTTTAACTGTTGATTTTGTTCTTAAGGAGATGCAAGGAATCAGCCCCAAAAAGCAACTGGTCTGGAGGCATCAGTGGCATCAGCACCTATTTTCACTCACATTTTTAATCTATCACTCTCTACAGGCACATTCCCTGACTGTTGGAAAGAAGCTGCTGACACCCCAATTCACAAGGGTGGCAACACTTCTGACCTCAATAACTACCGTCCCATTTCTATCCTCCCTATATCCTCTGAGATCATTGAAAAGGCAGTCCACACTCAACTCTATCATCACCTTTCCACTAATAATCTTATCTGCCCTAATCAATCTGGATTTAGACCTGTAAGAGACAGATCTCACCCTTTCACATCATCAGCCACCCTTTTCACAACACTCAATATTCACAACGTCAGTCAACGAATCAATTTACAACTTGGCTGCCTAGCATACAGGTCTGCTTCTGGTGTCGGACCAGACTACCTCTGCAAACTTTTTACGAAAGTTCAAATATACTTCTACTAGAGCAGGTACTACTGGTCATTATAATTTGCCGAAACCGAGAACTGAAATGTTTAAAAGTAGTTTTATTTATAAAGGTCCGTCCTATCTTAATTCACTTCCTAATGACATACGAAATTGCAATACATTTTATTCTTTTAAAAATAAACTAAAAATAGCACTAAAATTATCTTAATGACTGCTTTTATTAAAATTGAAATTTTATATCTTGTTTATACAATTGTTTTTAAAAATTTTTAACGAAAATCTATTTTATAATTGTGCTTTATATATTTTACATGTATTACTGTATTTGTTTTGTTATACTGTATGTTTTGTATTTGTTATGAGGGCCTCTTTGAGTCAGCATCACTGTCTCATAAAAGAAAGTTGAATAAATAAAATAAATAAAAGAATTAAATTGGACCGATAAATTACTTAGTCTGGAAAGATTGCTAAACTCCTGGAAAGGCAGAAATCTTACGTTTTTTGGAAAGGTTACCATTTTAAAGAGCTTAGCATTTTCTAAATTAACTTATAATGCTTCTATAATCAATGTACCAAATGATGTTATTTTACGGGTTAATAAGTTGGCGTATAATTTTCTCTAGAATGGTAAGAAAGAAAAAATAAAAAGAAAAACTTTAATTGGTAAAAACATTAAAGTAGGCATAAATATGCTAGACTTTTCGTTGCAAATTAAAGCGCTATAGATTATGTGGGAAAACAAATTATGTGTAGAAAGCATGTAAGGTGGAAAATACTGCCCTTACATTGTATATGCAAACTGGGTAATGAAGAATTAATTAATATTCAATAGGTTAAACATTACCTTAAGAAATGTAAAATTTTCTTATAAAATGCCACCATTTTATTTCAACGTTATTAATTGTTGTACTAAACTAAATGCATATAATTGTTTTACAGTAGATAATTACAGAGAAATCCTTCAACAGAATCTTTGGGGACGTCATGAGACATTACTAATTATAAATTGTTAAACAAAATCTCTCCAACAAGTAGGCAATTGTATAAATGGAAGTTAAAACACACTGACACATGTGAAGATGAAAAGCACATGTTTTTTGAATGTCTAAAAAATAGGATATTATGGGAAAATATAGACAATCTATTTAAGAAACTTGACAATAGTCAATCTTCTTTCAAAGAATTATTAATAGGCTGTGATAAAATTAAAAATGAAATATATTCTATTGCAGTATTTGCTATATATGAAAGTAAAATTGTAACAGAGCTATGTAAGCCAGTTTGTAAAAATGCATGAATTATATTTAAGAATTTTGTAAAAGAAAATAATTATGAATGGAACGTTATACTTGAATGAGTTTTATTTTGTTATCTATAGTATTATTATCATTGTACTAATTTTGAATAATTGGGATTAAATTGAAAAGTATTTGTAAGTATATTAAATTATTAAGAGTTATATTATCAAAAATATATAAAAAAAATGTATACACATATAAAAGTATATACATACAGCAATGTAGTAAAGTTTAGTTTGAACACATCAGATTGTAAGCTCTATGTACTGGTTGACGTCTTACTAATGCTAAGGCCATAGTGTATGCATGACTTAGTGGTGTAATTGCTATTAATATGATCACAGTCCGAGCTTAGTGAATAAAAAATGTTCAATATTGATGGTAAACATTTGAAAATCAGAAAAGAAATTGTGAAATAAAGGTGGGAAGACCCCACAAAAGAGAGGGAAAAAAAGAATGCTTCTTCATTAGTACTTTCTTAAATCGAAGGATACACAGATTTCTTTAACTGATACCACGATGAATATCTCTGCAAAAGTATGTCAGTAATGTTCACACTTTGTACCACTGAATATACTTTCAGTGTTTTCTTAATTTCTGCTCTTGCTTCAAGTTGAGCACACTTAAACTGTTGGTGTACCGGCAAGGCATTTTCATCTTTCCACAGGAATGATGGTCCATGAATCCATCTTTGGTTGCCTATCATTTCTTTAGCTTGAGCCCTCGGGATGCATCATCAGCTGGATTAACTTAGCAGGGAATATGTATCCATTGGTGTGGTGAACTGTGATTTCTGATTTTGGCAATTCGATTGGCAACATAAGTCTGGAACCGACTTTCATCATTTTGTATGCACCATAAAACGATCATACTATCCGACCAATAGATTCCAACAGAGGTATTTCAAGCTCAACAAGAAGCAGTTGAATTGTCATGCCTTTCAGAGGTGCTAATCTAGATTTGGACATTAAGATGCTGCAGTGAATCTTATCATTTACATCCGTCATCCTGAGATAGGTAACCGCTTCATATCCAGATTCCGATGCATCAGCAAAATGATGTAGCTGATTGGTTTTAATGCTGAAGTCTGTTGGCTTAACACAACGAGGTATATTTAAGTTCCTCATGTGTTGAATGTCATTGCATTGCAGGTCGAGATCCATGGCTAAATGGAAAAAAGGATTAGCCTTTATCTGGTGATTAATCTCTTAGGTTTTTATACCTGCACATAAACAATCCTTGACTGATGCACATTTATTTTATAATGTTATGCCATAAATTATATAGTGGGCTACGAATAATGTTTTATTTCATGATTTTGAATATTTTCACGCTTTTCCCGTTAAAATTGGCCAAGTACTTGATATTACTACCAAGTACAATGATATTAATCATTGTTTTTGGTAAGGTTTTGGTCAGCTATTCAATATAATACCCTACACCCCTCTGCTGATAACCATTCAAGCAAGGCCTGACTTATCAGCAAGACAGAGAAACGTGGTACGAAATGATTAGAAACGCGTTCATGAAGTGGTAAGATGTTTTGACGCGATAGGTCTAAGCCTAGGTATTTTTACACAGTTTTGAAGAAGATGGAATTGTTTAATTAAGGAAAGTGTTCGTTCTGATTGATACTTTTTAACCAGAGTAGCAATGGGTCAAAACAGCAATAACCAAAAAAAAAATAAATAGATAAATAATAATAATAATAATCATATTGGACGAAACACAATATAAAAGCAGTAGACATTTAAATAATTTAAAATTTAAAATAGTGACAAAATGATTGTTTAATGACATTAATTTAAAATAATAACAATGAAGCAGTGCAGTAGTAGTAATAATAATAATAATAAGAAGAAATAGGCCTTATAACAATATCACAAAATACAAATTGAATATTAAAAATAAACACAATAATATCAGTGAACGTTCAAGTAAATAAAACTTTAAAATACAGACAAAAAAAATATACCCGATATGTGATAAAAGTTTATTGCCGTTTTGAACTGAGACCCTCCTTAAAGTACTGATGGACTTTGGGGGCTGCAGAGTGATGATCATTTGGTACATAGATGAAGAATGTCGATGAATTTCTTGAAAAGAAATTTCCAGGGTGTGTTTTTTAAAGAATTTGGGAACATTTGAAATGTTAGAGCGTTTAGAGGTATTCTAACCAATGATGAGACTTTCAGCAGGTTTATGCTTTGAACGAATGCCTGTATTATGTATTGTAGTAGCGGCCTAGCAGCAATGCCTGGATAAGGTAATCCGTGGATATAAATAATATTATAAATAGTACTAGGCCTAGGTAATAGGACTAGCCTAGTTACCCCATTAGTAGCAAGGAGGTATAAAAATAAAATTTTTATACCTCCTTGGTAGTAGTAGGGCTAGGCATAGGAGGATAGGCCTTTTCCAAGAATTATCGGTATACATTTTGAAGTGATGACAAACATTGCGAATCAGCAGTGCGTAACCAACAGAAATAAGATAAGCCTTTGGGCTGATTTTCTAACATCATGTAATTAAAAATATTATAACTCCATAACGGGGCGTCGTATCCAAAATGTTTTCCAGCAAAATGTTCTTAAAAGACTAGTCTACACCACTATATGATTTTTAAAAAATATTGAAAAATGTTTGTGACCTTTGAAATCAAGATGGAAAAGCCTGTCTAAGTAGTGTCTTAAAATAGGCCTATGCATTACAGTGCAGTAGCATAGTACAGTACTTTCGTGTGACTGTTCCAGGTACCTATAATTTTCAGATTTCTCTTATTATAAAGTACAAGTTATGTTTTATAAAGAAGTATAGTATAGTAAATCATGTTTTTAACACAGGAAATTCTCATATGGTAACTAAAACAATGCTAGTCCAGAGTATTACTAGCACTACTGCAAATTAAATTTTGGTATAGACTGAATTTATGTTTATTGTTTTTCATGCAAGTTAGGATTGTTATTATGTTATTGTCATTTTCTTTTTATGTACCTATCATGCTCACTTGTGTTTTTTCCTATTTGCAGCAGACTTAAATTTATGAAAGGGAAAATGAAAGGATGGATTCAACTGTGCGTGAACTCTTGAGTGTTCCCCAGCACTAACAGAATACCACAAACTCGCCAAAATAACATTAGTATTTGTTAAATGTGTATTTGATGACATTTCGTGTATGTTGGACTAAAAAACATTTTTTTTTTGTTCTCAGTAATCATTGAACATATAGCTTGCTATCAGTCAATCGTGTCCTAAATGTATAGTTCTGGGAATGGTTAACAAACAATTATTAAACATTATTTTGTAGTTAATTCCAGTAAACAATGTACTCACAAATAACTTAAAGCTGTTTACTTGAAATTAAGTTTATCTACTTTCATTCAATAGACTTTTTAATATATAGCACTTTCTTCACTATTGTTTTCTAAAGTTTCATTTCCTTCTAAATTTTGTTTAAGATGTATGATTATTTTTTTGTGTGTGTTTAATTAGAAATTTTTAATTTCATGTTGAGTATCTGGGTTGCCCTCCATCGACAGTAATTATTAGGAAAAAGTTAACTATAAGTATGAAATATCCTAGTGAAATTTTAATAACTTCCTAATACATGCAGGGGTGTATGGAGAATTTTTTCTAGGTCGGTCGTGATCATAATTTTTTTGACCTTTTCACAATGAAATAACAGCAAGATGTGATTAAAATATCAATACAATTTGCTTGAAGCAGATGGCAGGCTCAGATTCAAAATTTATGGAATTGAGATAGATTACAGTATGTCGCACAAATGGCAATGTTTTTGGACTCATTGCTGGTACCTCATCAGTGATTTTTTATTTATGTTATTGTGAAAAGGCCCTAGAAAAAATGTCTGGAAAAATGTGAACCTTTGAAAATGTTTGGGGGGGGGGGTCGTACGACCTTCCCGACCCCCCTTGCATACACCCATGACATGAACATATTGCAAGATGTGATTTAATCAGTCAATTTAATGGGTGCTACAAACCACCACTACAGTATTTTATTTTTCTAATTACATCATATGCTATATATTGGGTAATTCCATGGTAACTGACGTTACATTTTATCCTTTATTATATTCACATAGTTACCCACATTATATTAAAACCATAGAAAAATGTTACAATTGATGGTGCTAACCGCAAAAACCAATGATTAAAAAAAATATTGAAGAAAAAATATGTCGAAGAAACATACAAAACATGACTTGTATGCCATGAAATACTGCATTAGTATACTAGAAGTACAGTTAATTATTACAAATTTGTTAAATTGTTTGTAAAAAAGTATTGACACTGGTGACTGATGTTTTTTTTTTGTAGTTGAATTAACCATAATGATTATGCTATTTTGTGTTTGTCACAATACATTGAATTAATTCAGGTTAAGTAATAACCTCCTAATTAGTTGTATACATAAAAATTATATTTAGTGTGTGTGTAATTTAATCAAACAATCGTGAGTACCCAGTGCTACAAACAACCAACTACTGTACGATATTTTTATGTGCTATGTTGCATATGTCTCAATATAATTATTGAGATTAGTTAAATAATAATCTCCTAATAAACTAATAATAATCTCCTAAATTGTATACATGCAATTATATTTAATGATTGTGATTAAAATCAACCTATTACGGGTACTCTGTGCTACAACCAACCAATGATAGTGTTATTC